AACTTTTGTTTTCAACCTGTACTGTAATAAAAATAAAGCAAAATTTTTTCATTAAATAAAAAACTCCTAAGATGTGACTGTTGAACAACAACATTGCCATTTTCTTCAATAACACAAAACTTGTCAACATCCATAGCTGGAATGAATCTATTCTGGTGCTCTAAACCAAATAAAAAAGTTTATTTTAAGTCAGTTTGACATTAAATTGCATTTTTCATATGGTGCCACAGTACAGTAATGGAAGCAGTACAGCACTAAATTGCACGCTGCCAAAACAAGAAAAATATACCAGTGGAGGGACCATTCTGCACAAGCTCTACTCTTAACCCCTCCTTTTGCATCCACCACCAAGCACTGCTAAGGAGACAAGATACTGGACCTATATCTGCCTTTTGGCCGATTCAGTTAAAAATTCTTATGTTCTTAAATCTACATGTCCTTCAGATGTATTCCTCCTTTTATTCATCTCCAGCTCCTAGAATTTTCTACATCTCTTCCAGTACATTTTAGTCACATGATGCCCTACGCTCTTCAGATAAAAAGAAATCAGACTGCATCTTAAAGGAAATTCATGAATTTTCAGCAAGCCAAAATCTCCTCAAAAGAATGCTCATTTTGCAAAAGCTGTACTTTGTGCTGAAAAGCATTATTTAATGCTAAACTACTGACCAGCTCTTGTAAACAACTCCTGTCTGTTGTACTCAGTATGTATTTTTTGACATAAATAAGTTATCAGGTGGTATTATGACAAAAGGTTGGTCCAAGTATCTTCAAGTCAATGGGAAGATCTCCAAATTCCTCACAGAAACATTCTCAGTAAAATACAAAGGAGGATAGTCACAGCCTATGTTTCAGGCATTTAGTCAGGATTCAAAGAAACACAATCCTAAATATCTTATATGGTCTCAAGAAAGAAATGGAGAAACTAAGTTAAATGCTTATACTGCTGTAATGTACCCCATGTTAAATCTACTTTCTCTGCATCCTTTACCGACCAGGTTTAAATCACTAATACCTTCAAATAAACATAAATTAATGGCTACTGCCTTTTACTTAGCCTTCACGAGAGTTTTCTCTGCACACAGTGACTAGCTAGGGGACTTGTTCTAAGAATATGAACAGACCATTTACCTGAAGACTGACACATGAAGTTGCACTGGCCAAAAATAATTTCAAAAGACTATTATTAATTTTGTTGATTTGAAACAGCTTCCTTGAACCAGGGCTACAGTAAGATGATAACCATCTTCTTATCCAGCTCTCAAGAATGGTATCACTAAGATCAATGGAAAAAATAATTATATGCCCTTGGGTGAAGGAAAATATTAATGTTTGTAAACCTAATGAAAATTGATGAATTCAATTGATAATCCCAAAGTCTTACAGTTAAGTACTGCACAGGTTTTCTGCCACACTTGTGATTGTATCCTGTGACTTACATTTTTAATTGCCTACTCAGCCATAACTACATATACACTGTCTTTTGGATAGCTTGTTAGGTAACGATGGGAAAATAAACAAACATAGCTCAAACAGTTTCTTAGCCAGAAAAGCTCTTCAACTTGCTCTGTTCTAATCAGTTCACAAGTGCTGTTCATAGATCATGCATGGTTCGGATATCTACAAAAGGAAACATAATGAAGCCAAGATGTTGTTTACACCAACACTAGAAACAAACGATAGACAGAGTCACGAACTAGCAGAGGAACTGGTTTACAGTTCCCTATCCATACATTTTTCTAGTTACACAGTTCTTAAAGTGGTTTTTCTTGTGGACAGTTGATCATCAATCAAATGAAAAATACTTCATTTCCATTTTTCCTCAAAGGGAAATACAATAAATGTTATTTACAAGTATAAAAGCATATCACAAACAAATGCAGTATCTAAACACTAAAACAGCAAACAAATACCACTAATAAATACTTGTTTAGAATTCAAAAAACTTTTTAATGGAATATCTATCTGCTCAATGAAAGGCTCTTCCTTCCCACTCCCATTGAATTTATCTATATACAACATCCACATGTCACAGTGCTTGAAACAAAAGATGGAGCTTCTTCAAGGAGCTTGGATGTGGCTCGAGCTCATAATATCTATGTATCAAAAGCACCACTGAGATATTCTACACAAGCAGCGGTTGACCAGCCAGTATGATATCCTGTACTGTGAACACAGCTCACTATGCAAAGCTAAAAGCTTTCCTGATACATCCATACAATTGCTTTAACAATGCAACAGCCAGAAGCAAGCCATAGCAGTGAAGAACTCAGGTTAGTTTTTATTTTCTTACTTTATCAATTTCTCTTTTAAAAATGAAAAGGGGAGTGGGGGGAAAAAAGTGAATATTTAGTGAGTATTTTACATTTAAATGCAGCACTCCAAAAACACCCCCAAAGAAAACCACAGTGAGATAAATTTTTCAGATTCACAATCTAGATACCATAAAATAGAAATTTCATATGCCATGGAGAACAGCATTAACTGTCATGTAATGTGACAAACTGTTAGCTACTAATTAATTTAAATCTCATAATACTGAAAATATCTCTGTCCACTTCTACATATAATGTTAAGGGCTATAATGAACATAGTAAGTCAAAAAGACTAATGCACTGATTTTCATTCCTCCTTTCTAAATGTTCTATCAGTGAGAAAAATGAATAATTTAAAAAATAAAACTTATCAGGAAGGCAAATTCACAGAAGACTCCAACATCCTTGCTGTGCCTCCTTTTAGGTCCTCCAATAATGAAAAGAACAGATAAACCAGAAAATGCCATACTATGAACAGGAAAAACTGCAGATCAGTAACAGACTGCACATCCACAAGACCAGAAAAACAAAGACCAAAACTGTAATATGATTTTGTTTGGCTTATGGATTTGGGGATTCTCCCCCCCCCCGAAAGAATTCCTGTTTCTTATCATACTTGTCCATTGCCTTCTGTTCACAAAATGCAGCCCACATAACTGAAGTCCCTCACATAACCTTCAAAGAGACACATCTAAATTAGGCCATATATCAGAGCACAGAGACAGCTTTAGCACGACTAAAACTGGAAAATGTGACTGTCCTAACAAGTAGTGGGGAGGAAGATCTCAAAATCTCTGTGCCCTAACAGTAAGCCACTTGTTTCATCTCCCCCTGAATATAGAACAGCTTTCAGAGCTATTTAACCTGCAAAGATGCAAAACTCCTGTGTGATAAATTGGCAATTTTAATGTTTATTTTGTTTATAATGCTAAGAGTTTAAAAATCATGCTGCTCGCCAGTGACTGAGCATAAGTCCTATTGTAGGTACATGTGGAAGAATATAAAAGGAAAAAGTATATTCTTCAGAAGAAAAACCCTGCACACCCATTAATATTAGTAAGTTAAAATTAGGCAGAGCCTGACCTGGTGAATTACCCAGGAGACCTGATTAAGTGCAATCAGATTCCAAGTACTATCATGTTGGGAACAGTGTCTCTGACCTAAATGCACTTCTCATCATGAAATGTCAGCAGTAATGACCTCAAGCAACTTCACCCTGAATTTAGTCTGCCTTTGATAAAATACCATGATAGATCCACAAGATAATAGTAACTTATAAACTTCCATGGTCTTCATGATTAAGCATGACACTTTTCCTATACAAAGTGCCAAAACTGGAAAAAAAAAGCCAAAAGGTCACAATCCAAAGAAGCAGCTTTTCAAAAGAGAGGACCGCTGCAAAGCCAGTGCGGCTAGCAGGATCCACAGGGGCTCTCTGACAAGCCTGCTGGGGCAGTTTTAAGATGACCAGTTAAATGCCTGTGGAGATCCAGCTCCCTAATTATTGATTGACCTATATAGTTTTGGCATCAGTTATGCCCCAAAGAATCTGATTTGACAGGCAGTTAAGAGTCCACCGTTAAATAAAGTCTGAAATAGCCAAGACAAGCAGACCGACTTCCTAAGAAGATTAGTTTCTTCTGTTCATCAGAATATTTTGGGGACCATGTAAGAAAGTGAAAATAGGCACCATTCCAAAAGAATAGAGCCTTGCAACATTTTGTATGCCAAACAGCTAACTTATACACACATTCTTAATTCTTGAGACAGATAAAAATTCTTAAAACACATAAAATCATCCCCTGTGCCATGACCATCATGAAGCAAATCCATTGATCAGGACACATTCATATGCAAGGGCTGGCTCTTAAGTAAAATGATACCTGCCTGCCATTTAGTTAACCACTCCCTGAAAGACTTGCAGACACTTGTAGATACACTGCTCATGTTCTTTCCAGCTGACCTTGATAACTATTTTAAAGTTAGAAAGCAGACTACAGAGTCTTCTTTGTGGCCAATGGGAAAAATAATTCAATCATTTGTGAGATTCAACCTGTCTTTGAAAAAATTCACCCAGATTTGCTTTTGCCATAGTTGTTTTCTTGCTCCCATTGTCACTCCTTCATTGAACCTCTCTCCAGAAACCAGAAGGATGAAGAGTCACATCAGGAAGTAAAAGGCAGAAAGATATTTACAAAGCTAATCATTGAGTCAAACAGGGAGGCAGCTGGATATTGTAAGGCTGTGAGCAGAATGGGGACTTACTCTAGCACAGCATGGGGAAAGAAGATTAGGACAGAAACAGACATGAAATGAAAGGACAAGCATCTCGAAGGGTCTTTTATTGCTCCTCAAGAGTAAGACCTAAACATGTCGGGAATTCAGATATTATTGTAAAAAATAACGTTTTGATTATTTCAGATTTACAGCTGAAAATGGTGGATAAGTGGCATACCGCTTGTCCTGTATTGTACTGGCAAGTACTATGTTTCCCATTCTCCTGTTTATTCCAGTGAATCCAAAGGCTTCATGTTAAATCTAAATCCTCCATCTTCCTTTAGAATTACTTTCCAGCAGAATTTAAGTTTCAACTGTATGACCTGACTCCAGATAAAAAAGCATCAACAAGGAGAAGATACATGTTGTATAATTTTAGCCTTTCTCAATCATAAACTCACACAGTACCTGTGGATGTATCCACGGTGAAGAAAGAAGAAAATTCTCCTGGGACCAGTTCGTATGTAACAACGCCATATATTCCTGAATCTCTGTCTGTGGCAACAACATTGATGATCTCTGTTCCTGGCTGCGTGTGACCGCTGATGCTCGTCACATAGACAGCTTGTTCAAAAACAGGTTGATTATCATTAATATCTTCTATCTCAATGCGAACAAAAGCTTGGGCACTCAGCCCACCCTGTTGGATAAATCAGAGAGATAAAAACAAAAAACATGGTCAATTTTAAAAGCATACCAAATAGAATGATGCACCTCTGGCTTCAGCCCATCATTAGGAAATGGAACATGCTGCAATAATACTGAGCAATTAAAATGTCTGTTAAAAACAACTTACGATATCTGTCATATCCCCAAATACTGCATTTAGGCAGACTACATGCTTAGAACAACTCCAGTGGGTTGACTGAGTATACAAAGAAGTTCAACTTCTTATGACGGTGAGGCCTGAACACAAAGTTATTTTTGTTAACATCAACGAGCACTACATATGTCAAATCCTTGCTAGTCTAACCTTGCTTGTTTTTACTGTAATCATCTACACACCACTTATTCCTTCACAGATAAAAGTCAGGGCTTTCTGCCCCAGCAACACTTGCCCTTCAGGTGACTGCGGGGCTCCAGTGAAGCAGGAGCAACTTCTATCTATGAGTCTTTCAGATTCAAAAGTGTGACCATCATAACAGCGAATATGAGGCTTTTTCAACTACTGATTAGGAACACAGACAGAACAGACCAGTGCAGGACAGCCAAAAGTTGACCTGTCGGGCTGCTGCCTGCAAGACCTATCCTCAATTGACCTTGATGACTGGTTTAAACAGTTCTGCTCACACAGTGTGTGTGTGTGCGTCTATACATATATATATATACACACACACACACACACTTGCATAGATGTAGAGGGTGTGTGAGTGTATCTCTCTATGTATGTATGCATATGTGCTTGTCTATAAACCCACAGCTTCACTTTGTGTACACAGAGACAGAACAATACCAAATGTGACTGAAGCACACAGCTGAAACAATTTGTTGATGTAAAATCCATAACTTACTACATGAAATTATTTCCAGCACATCTGTGATTTTGCAGGGCAAGAGGTCTCAAAGGGGCTTGGCTCCACTTCTCTGCTCTTTTTTCTTTTCCCTACTTGAAGAGCTAGGAAAAGAGCCAGGCCTTGGTCACAGCTTCAGCACTGTACCTCTTTGCGACTCCAGTCCAGCCACTGCACTGCCCTCCACACAGTTGAAGCTTCGGCTACAGGTGCCCACCAAGAGCCCCCTGAAATGCCACGTGGGCAGCCACAGGACCATGTTTAGCCTTGCTCTGCAGTGAAACCAGAGAAGCAAGGAGCAACTGCAAGCTGGCTTAACAAACCATGCTACAGCAAAAATCACAGTTTGCCATGGCACAGCACTGAATTTTGTGGCAATCTGGAAAAAAAGACAATTCCGTGAGTGCTGAAGTGTAGACCCCACAGGGCCCTGAGTGAAATAAATGGCAATTTATTTCTCAGAGGCACTACCTCGGACTCCCCGCGGACTCCCTCCATCAGTTTGGGGGGGTTCATATTTCCAAGGTTATTTTATAGCCGTAACAACTGCAGATATTTTTAAAAGAGAGCAGCTCCACTTGTGGCACAGCTAATGGTGAATTCTGGGGCACTGACACATACAACTGAGGCACAAAGCAGCACACATATACATAGCCTGCACGTGCTCTACGTAGTACGGTAAGACATAGCCTGAGAAAGAATCCTGCACTCTTCAAAGTCACGCTGAGAGTGCTGTGCTTGTACCAATTAGTCACTTACCGAAACCACTGACACAGATGGGATGTTGGTGTGTACACATGACAAGCTATGCTGAGCAAGTCCAAACTTAATTTTGCAGTCACACTAGCTACAATAAAAAAAACCCCTAGGTTCCATATTTCTGCAACCTAATTGTTCATGTCAATTATTTTTAAACCCGACCATGAAACTATCCAATGATTCAGACTGGATGCTACTCCTTTAGACTTTCCCTGCACCATAACAATCCCCCCTCCCCCAAACTATTTTTGAAGGTTTGCTTATCAGGTCCCCAGGGTCTGACTTACTTTTGGGCAAAAATACTATCTGCATTCTCCCCCACATTTCCACAGTGATTTTTGTTTTGTTCTGTTTTGTTTTTTTCTGCCATGTAGTAACATTACCTCTGTTGGGTTGCAGTGGCATTCCCATGAAAACTCAAGTATGTGGAAAATTAAGATGATCTTGTGCATCACGCATCTATGTTTCACCCGCAGACTAGGAGATCTGGCTCATATCCTCCTGGTGTACTGGGGTTTTCTTCCAAAGAAAATACAGCATGGCATGCTTCCAGGGCTCATGCTGCCGTGGAGGCAGCCGGCAGCCAGGACATGCCCCCATGGACCAGGACTGTGAAGAGTACTGGGCTAGCACCAGCCTTGAAATACTGAGACAGCCATGAAACCCTGTGCTGATATGGGGAAGCAGAGATGTGCAGATCTAGTGGGCTCACTGCCAATGCCCCAACCCCACTTCAGGGTGAGCTCCTTCCCCAACACCTTGGTTTCCACAGGAAGGAAATCCCTGCACAGGAGCTAAAAGGGGAGCCCTACATGCTTCATTCAAGCCCCCTGTCAGAAGATGCTCTGGCTCCACAGCTTTCAGGTACTTTAGGATAGGAGTCAGAAACAACGTTTTGGAGGGAAGAGGGCCAAGTGAGGTCAAGAATAAAAAGCATCTAAAAAGAGACAGTTTGGAACAGCATGAAACCAAACTGCAAAAACTCCTGAGAACTTGCACTAAACTGCTTCTTCCAAGTTTCATTATTGCTAAACAGAAACAAACAAACAAACAAAAAACCCCACCACCACTCTCCAGCCAATTTCTATTTATCCTGCAGAGCTAAGTAAAGACCGCAAAGTCTTTGGAAATGGATTAATTCTATGTATAAGGGGAAAGCAAAGCAAACTGCACACCTACCACCTAACTAATCTCTCAGACCACCAACCAAATTTTATGATGGAGACAGATCCTTCTTTTCCTGAAGAAGCAGTGTATCCCCTCACACATGAGTCAAGTACAATATCAACTTATTAATTTATTATATTAACTGGTTATGGCCAGTTCTTGCTCTGGCTATGAAAATTATCATAAATATCATCCCAGGTAAGAAGGAACAAACTGCTTCTATTTCTAACCACATGGATACACTTAATCTACTCAGAAGCAAGCACGACATAGTAGAACTTCCAAAATATGGAGGTCGATGTCATGGTTTAACCGTAGCCAGCAACTGAGCCCCACACAGCCACTTGCTCACTCCCCAACTGCCCCCAGTGGGATGAGGGAGAGAATCAGAAGAGTAAAAGTGAGAAAACCCACAGGTTGAGATAAGAACAGTTTAATAATGGAAATAAAGTAAAATAGTAGTAGTAGTAATAATACTACTATTAATAATAATATACAAAGCAAGTGATGCACAATTCAATCACTCACCACCTGCCGACTGGTGCCCAGCCAGTCCCTGAGCAGCGATCACTGCCCCCAGCCAACTCCCCCTCCAGTTTATATACTGAGCGTGATGTTACATAGTATGGAATACCCCTTTGGCCAGTTGGGGTCAGCTGTCCTGGCTGTGACCCCTCCCAGCTTCTTGTGCACCTGGCAGAGCTTGAGAAGCTAAGAAGTCCTTGACTGGTGTAAGCCCTGTTCAGCAACAACTAAAGCATGAGTGAGTTATCAACATTATTTTCATACTAAATCAAAAACACAGCTCTATACCAGCTACCAGGGAGAAAATTAACTCTATCCCAGCCAAAACCAGGACAGGGGATTTAAACAAGTCTGTTGCTGACAGAAAATTATGCTTGTCAAAACATGTTAAAAACACCAGAAAGCCATAATTAATTTTGAAATCCCTTTTATCAAATGTTCAAGTATTTTTAACTACTGTTGTGATATTTGATGCAACAAAAAGTCACAATTACAACAGCTTCTTTGTCAGAATCCTGAGAGTCGTGTCTCATGGAACAACTACCACCAAGTCAA